GGTTTTCCCGGAAAAAAAAAAAAAAAATTACTAGGGATGGGAAACATAAAATTCCCCCCAAACCCCCAAACCCCCCCCCCCCCCCCCCCCCCACGCGCTTGCCCACCAATCCACTACAGCAAAATGAGATCAGCCGATAAACCTTGTACATTTTCTTTCCCCTTGATTTGCCCTCTTCAGGGTACGGATTGTCACGACTAAGTGTTTGGATTGATTATTCATGTGCATGTCGAATGTTTAGGGCTCTCTTGACCCCCAAAAACATACACGACAAACAGGGTAAAGATAATGTATTAATTGTGATTCAGATTATAGGCAACGGTGTTTGGTATCATTTAACTGATAAAAATATCACGATTTTTATATAAGTCCTGTAAAGTGTGATCAGCATGGAAACCATATGTTGTGATTTTCCTACAGGTGATTAAAAATGCAAGAAGCGGTATATCTTAAAGTATAAACCTCAAACGTCTGAGGACGGTACTGACTTAAGTATTATTGTGTACACCAATGCATTTTCATTCTTGCATATTGCTATTTTACCGTGATAGTGAAAAATTCCCCCTGATAAACAAAGCTAGCAAGATAGTGATTACTTATCGTATGCCATTTAACCATAACAAGTGGAAAATGGTGTGTCATAAAAGTTGGTTAACATCAGCGGCTCATTTCGTTTAAGTAGGCTACTTCCTATTTGAAAGTACGTGCCGTTTGAAATACAGGGAGAATGCAGAAAGTAATACCAAATAAGAGACGCAAAAAGAAACACCATTAGACATCATACAAGAAAGGGATATAAGTAATAATTTAGAAAGCCTGACAGTCACTTGCTATAATGCAAGGTTAGTCAATGATGTCAGTAATATCTGTATTCAATCACCCCATTTATATCGAAAAAAAAAACGCTGTATTCCACCAGTCTCGCTTGGAGAAGTATTATATACGGTGAAATAGGGTGCTTTCACCTGATACTTGATGAGAATTTGAGTGTCATATCAATTAGTCATTTTTTTATTATTATTTACTGTATATTAAAATATCCACTGTGCCAGGCAAGATCTGTCTTAAATTACAGTTAGAGTATTCTACGGACGATGAATTTTATTTCACGTCGCTGTAGTATATATCGTGAACATCGGCCGGTGTACTGTAATAGTCACTTTCCTCCATTTTTGTCTCGTTTTCATTCTCGTCGCCCACGAGTTCCGTGTATGTATAATCATCTTCGCATGCCGCATACTTAGGCTCGTCGGCCATATTGCTGAAGGAAGCGTTATCATCATCATCAGCAGAGCCATACAGAGAATTTCCTCGCATCAAAACAAATGAAGGGTCGTTGTTTTCTGCTTTTTGATTTGTCGGTTTTGAAACGGTGCTGTAAGTGTGGTCGGTATTTTTATTGTTCTCTGTACTATTAACATGCTCTTTGCATGGTTTCGTATCTTTTGCACTTTCAGTGTCTTTGGTTTCGTCTGGGTGGTTGTAGTAGGCTTCATCTGGGCCCACTGAGTATATTGAATTGCTGGTCATCGATATAGATGAACTGTCACTTTTATTTGAGAGAGAAAGTGTCAATGGAGCTTTATTTTCAAAAAGATTTGTGTTTTTCGTGTTGTTCAGCACCTGTTCGCCGTTCGGGTAGAGACCGTCTTGGCCATGGGGCGTTTGATCATTCTGTAATTAAGGTATAAATGTGTCATGTCGAAAAAGTTTGTTTTGGTCAACCGTCAGAGCTGTTTATTGACATATTTTACATTCTTTAATGTGCGGCTATCCATAAGTGTAAATTCGCATAGAATTTGTCTTTTAATTCAAGAATAGCACAGTTAAACATACTTATGGCAAGGTTTCGGTATTTTCAAAACAAAATGACACTGGCGGATCTTACCGTATTTGATTGGTCTCTCCTTTTTGGTTTTCTCTTAAACATGCTGAAAAAAGAACAAAATAAACGTTTAGGTTTAATCGAGCTGGTTATTGATACTTGATAAATAGCAATACATTACACTCAAAACGACTTTTCTGATTCGTATTGTAAGTGCAGCTTCTGTTTTTACGACGCCTTGAACATTCCCTGTATGTGACAAACGAAAGACTGTTTAATTCAAATGTTTGGCGGTTTATTTTATTAAAGTTCCTTTACCTTAAGAGCATATTTCTCCTTTTCCACCAAAGCATCCCCAGTATAATAACAACAAGAACCAGTACCACAGCTACCACAACACCTGCTACAATGCCAGCATCACTGGAACCCCCTGTATTGGGCAACGAGTCTGTAAAATGTATGATGATTGTTAGCATTAGCAACGTCCCGTTCTATTTGAATATTATGGACTTTTCTGTGTCCTAGTCTATGGAATTATAACTTTGGAAAACGGGTAAAATATAATAAAAAAATACATGAATAAAACTTGAACTTCATTCGTTCTTGCCATACTAATCATTATTTACGTAACTGTATATATATATATATATATATATATATATATATATATATATATATTGTGTTACCCTTGCTTTTGTATCCAGTGGTCCCCTGACCATTGGGTAAGGTTGTCGCCCGGGTAACCGAGGTGGGAATAGATATCCTACCTGTTGCAACCGGTCCTGCATGGATGCTCGTTGATATTTTGGCTGACGTAGTAATTCTTTTAGTCGAAGTTGTAGCAGACGGCAATAGCATAGTAGTCGAGGCACAAGTGACAGCTCTACAATACTGTGGCGGCGATCCGCAAGAACTAGTTGATGCACCGCTACAGGGCTGCTTTATCCATTTACCAATATTACAACGAAAGTAAGTACGGCAGTTTTCTGGGTTTGAAGCATACGCATCAGTTGAACAACTAGCATTATTATATCCACAAGGCCAGGCGACTAGTTAGAAACAAAGAATAACATTGTGAGTACATTATGAACATAAAAAATACACGCAATACATAGTCAACTCAATTAGACATAATTTAAAACCATTATTAACTTGACAATTCTTTGAATTTTATCATGGCAAGGTCTCTACGTTTATTTAAAGAACATAAAAGTATCAACCTTAGTGAGCCAGTTATGATCGCGGATTTAAGACTAGAGTATGGTTTCTTTCTGTTTTCACGGAGTACAGTATTCAGATTTAGTAGTTATTATAGTGCTTACTAGGTTGAACTGGTTTGTAAACTATTTGACAGATTATTAAAGCCCACGATCTCGCGCAAGTGGTCCTTTAAGTTTCACTTCAATAAAATATGAACTTGCAATGGGAATAAGAATAATTATTTTGGATAATTTCACAACTGTATCCCTGATGCAATGCAATTTGGTTCATGTACAAATGACTTAAACAGCCATTTTTATTCTAGTCCTGACAGAAAAGAACACGATAAATCCAAACTTTCGATTCTGCAAACACAATGTGGGTAGGTAATGCCATTTTAAGCCAGGAATAGTTACGTGTACTTATAAAGCTTGAAATAAATGTAGCTGCTGCCAAAGTGAGAGTTAAAAAATAGGCCAACGTGAGCCAAAGCCCGAAATTTCATACTTTTTCCCGTTATGATAAAAATTAGCTATGATTATAAATTTGAAGCAGAAGCTAAAGTGAAATATCGCTTACTGTATAGCATTTGATTTTCTAACCCCTTAGATAAGCAGTACCATGAACGATGTGAATGTTTATTTACATGAAGGTATTGCAAATGGACACATTAGCGTGACCCAGACGTGAACTGCATTTAATAAACTCACAATGACATCGTCATTACTTTGGGAAGTAAATGCAGAAACTTGAAATCGTTCTGAACTTGCCCATTCTAACACCTACCTATATTCACAATATGGAAGCTTGTTATCCAGCCCAGCGTAACAATGAGGTTTCTAAAAATACACCTCGATCCACTGGTCCTCATCCTGTCCTGTTGGCTTCCTAGTCCCCTGGTCACAATTAAGTATGTCACAAAAATATGTGTGAATTGACGTCAGGGAAATCCGGCGAGAATTACATCGTCACCTCTTCAACTCCCGGAGTCAGACAGAAGAATGTGTGTAATTACGACCCTCCATTTTCGATTTTGACAGGTGCACGAATCGCGTCCTAATTTTTTCCAACACCTGGTTTGTTTGCTGCTCTACCAGGAAGTAATTCAGAGGTCACGTTGAGGTCTGGGGTAAGTGACAATATATATTTTGTCACATGTTTCGATAACGTGTAGGAAGAAGATGATAAACAGAACGCTTGAGTCAGTGCAATAGGCCTACCTGGTATATGTGTATTGTAGAGGGGATTTTGAGTAGAATTTTTCTGCTCAAATACGGCGGTATAATTTTTCCATTAAAATTCAGCCTAGATAGTGAATGGGCTTTAAATAGCGCAAACAGAATTTCCCGCTGTTCAAGTCACCATTATGCAGTGTTTACATCTGTAGGGGTTACTGAAGTTATCTTTCTTATTAAATACCTTTAAGCGAAAGGTTATGAAAAATTTCCTTTATTTTATTTATTTATTTATTTATTTATTTATTTATTTATTTATTTTGTGAATGCGAAAAATGAGTTCATCATATTTGGTTAAAATCGTCATGTTTGAAATGCATTTAAAGGAACAAAAATATGAGAGAACAGTTTCATTAGCTCTGTATGTATCAATTTAAATTATTGTTTTTCTTTTTATCAAGATCTTATTAAATATGTGGGTATTACCTCCAATGTTTCTGTGACTGTCAGTCATTAGGGGCAATTGACCTGGATTTTCATTCCAGGTGAAATGACCCTAGTCATTTACTCCCTAATGATGGTGACTGACAGTCACAGAAATATTGGAGGTAATACCCACATATTTTATAAGCTCTTGGTAAAAAGAAAAACAATAATTTAAACAAAAATTTGGATTTCAACCTGTCATAACAATTTTTTACTGGAAATTTCCACATCCTTCTCTTTATCACCTAATTATGCTTAACCCACAACCGTTTACAGATTTACGACCCATAAACCCTTCCGTGTTTATAATTTTTGATTCACTCTCGTGATGGAAGTTGAATGAGGAAATGCACTCGTGACGGTAAAATTATAATTCCAGAGTCGTAGTTGGTTCATAGAAAAATAATTTCCTCAACGGATTTGGATAGGGTATAGGCCTTCATTGCTTACAAATTATTATTATTATTATTATTATTATTATTATTATTATTATTATAAAAAGGCCTCGACCCTCACTACTGTACATGTATTATTGTCCTGGACGCATTATGTAGGCCCTGTATGCTGATGTATAGACTGTATAGGATGCTCTGCAGCTAACAAATAACCAAAACTATTTCGTAAAACACCGACAAGATGCACTACTTAATTAATTACAAGGCAAATAATTCTGCTATCAAATATTCTTATTTATTAATAACGATTATGGCACATTCTCTTATGCAACATATATATCTGTATTAAAATAGTTAAATTGCCAACATGTCACTTAATTTTGTTGTTCTTAAAATATCTGAATAAAAACCAATAGTTCTTAACAAAGTGAAAAAAATTACACTACAGTTGCATCATGGTACACAAGTAAACAACATGAACAGAGCAGCTGTAAGAGAAATTTCAAAAGATATCCCGTATGAATTATAGGCGTGTGTTTCTGTATCACTGAAGTTTACTCTGCCGATTATAACGTGCACACAATCTGTATAATTTGTAGTCCAATGTAGCTATATGATCACAGATGACCTTTATGGTTCAAGTCTTAATCTACAACTGTCAAGTAAAGGTCCAATGCAAAGCAAAATTAAAATAAAATTAGGAAGGCAAAACAAACATAAAATGTGGAACAAATAGGCCTACGTTGTAATAAATAAACAAAAACAAATAGGCCTACGTTGTAATAAATAAACAAAAAACAATTGGATGATTCTTTGCAAAGAATGAGATTAATCCAGCATACAAACGCCGGCGTTTGGAAGTTAAAATGACTGGAAATGGTGTGTTCGGGGCTTGGTGACATATCAACACTGTATGGTGTATATGACATAACAATTATCACCGTGATTATCATTCATATACAAAAATTTTATAAATATTTAGTGATAAATATTTAGTTAAAGCTGACAGAAGAACACCATGAAGTTTGTGTAAAGAAAATATCAATTGGTGTTTTGGTAGTGCGTCGTATCCGCTGGATTTTCAAGCACAAAGTAATAAGGTTCTTGTTGGTTGGTAGGGTTGGGTTCTCGTGCCAGACAATAATCGTCAATATCGTCTGCAACATTTGGGTCACTCGCTCTCTTACTCCGCGGAATGACGTCTGCATATTGTGGAACGTTGCTCTGAGGAGTGTCTCCATTCCAGCGCCTGTTTTGCTCATTGGCGTCATCTACCTCCTTTGCGACGGTACTGTAATACACATCGTCTGCTTTCCCTGGCGTTGTATAGTAATGATTTTCTTTGGGATCAGATTTGAAACCTGAAGGTTGTGTGTAAGTATAGTCATTGGAATTTGCGGCATAGTATTTAGGGTCATCCGCAGTGTTGTAAAATGGTTCGTCGGTACCAGCCGAATACAATGTATTGTTTCTCATTAAAACCGGCGACTGGTCGCCTTTGTAAGTTGGTTTGGGAGACGTCTTTGAAGGTTCACTGTAAATATGTACTGAGCTGTCGTTTTTATTCTTCGTCGGGTTTTCTTTGATGGATTTAATGCCGTGTGGGTCCTGGTAAACGTAAGGGGAATCATACTATGAAAAAGAAGAGAAGAAAAGCAATAAGTTATTTTCCAAAGTCACAAGTCCAGCAGTAGGCCTAGGGGTTAAACGAATGCCGAAACACTTTTCTTTTAAAACGTACCTAAAGTAGTAATTTATTTGCTTAACGCTATAGGTATAATTCAGTTCTATGAATATAATATAACGCATCACTAATGTAAAATTTACAATACCCAATTTGTATTAGGCCTAAGATGAGCACAATTGAGCAATCTCACCTCGTTTGTTGAACTCTTCCCTTTGCCTTTATTAAATAAGCTGTAAAATATGCAATGCAAATAGTTACACCACGGCTTATCACACATGCTTCATGTTGTACCATTGAGCGGTTTAAGTTTTGACAAATAATTAACGATTTTTATCAGCAAACGACCAAGACCTTGTAGAAAAATGAGTACTCTGTGCTGAAGAAACTGCAATGTATAATGTTTCGGACTTTGGGAAACATGCTGATAGGTTTTTGAAGGCGCAGAACGAGTTTTTAAAATAAATGTAAAAAGACGAAAATATTACTTCACAGGCATCTTCTGTATTCCATGTTAATATAGGAAATTCAATGATGAATGGACAAAATGAGTTCTTCTAGCCACAAGCCACAGCAGTAGGCCCCGTACATTTACCTTAGTAACATATCTCTCCTCTTCCACCATAGCAGTCCCAGTATAAGTATCACCAGAACCAGTAACACGGCTATCACAGTACCAGCTATGACACCGCCTTTACTGGGACCACCTTGATGGGACATGGTTTTACCATCTTGGGGTATCATCTGCGTGGTTGTCGTTTGAGATTTATCAGGGACGTCTAAAACGCAAATAAAAGATTTATTTAATGTTACCATCAGTCTTCAGTTTCGTAAAAAATCACAAAGAATAGGAAAAGAAAAAAACTGCATCAGTTATACAAAGCACTAAATTTGCTATGTACAGCTATTGAAATCTTAATAACTTTATGTATACTCTATGCAAAATTTAAATTTTATTCTAAATTAAGTATATCTTACCTCCGCGGGGTGTTGACTGAGTAGTGACCTGGCTTTGTGTTGTCGTCTTTTTTGTTATAGACGAGCCTTTGGTACTTCCTACTGTACTTGCCACAGTACTTTCAGATATAAGCCCTTTCTCACTTGTTTTCCTTTGAGGTACATTTGTATTCGACGGTGCTCTTGTTCCTCTGTTGCTGTTACCAGGCCTATTACCTGTTGTGGTCTCTGGACACGTGCCTCTCCTACAATACTCTACTGGTATACCACATGAAGTAAGAGATGTGTTGCTGCAGTTATAAAGTGTCCATTTCTCATGTACACATCGGTAATACTGTGTACAATCTCTTGGGTTAGGAGCAAAAGGTAGATGTATTTCTGGTGTACAGTTCTCATCATGGAATCCACATGGCCATGTTACTGTTTCATAAAAAAGATCAAAATTATTGATTATTACTTTTTAAATGTACAATTTAAAAGTATTTGAGGACATATTCGCCTGTAGTAGAGATTAATTATCTGTTAGCACTTTCACTTTAAATAGAAACCCATTTTCCCAACAATTAGCAGTTTTCTGAATAATCTGAAGTATATTTATTTGTGCATCTTTGAAGATCTACATTTAAGTTGCATCCCCAGCTCCAACGCATATATACTAGTAAGTGTGACACCTGTCCAAATGGGAATGCTTTCCAAGAAATGACGAGACCTTTTAGAGGATCCACTTTTCTTGAGTTGACCATATTTTCCTTATACAGTAGGTGATACCCAAGCCCGTCCCATCCGTATGTGATTTAATTTAAACAATGCACTAAAATCTGCTGTACCCGTATTAATACCCTGCCATTTTCTTATTAACCTCTCAAGGTGATGACAATAGTTATCCCCGTGTGACACTCAAACTTACCTATGCCCGCTATATGAAAGCTGGCAATCCACCCCACTGTTATATAGAAGAGGTCACTGAACTGAAAGTTGCTGCTCCACATTGTGGGTAAAGTCTTTATCCTTGTGGTGTGGGTGTAAGTCACATATCCATCCTGCCAAATTCTTAAATGTCCCCCTACCTGTTGGATTGTCACCAATTCTGTTGACAAGGTGAAAACAAATACACGTTCTTGAATTTTCCGTTAACAGTCTTTACTGTACAACACGGTGACCTGTCTTACCAAAGTCGCCATTTTATTTACAAGTAGGAAGTAGAAAAGCCAGCCTACCCCTCGTGTCATGTGACTTAATGGGTGAATAGGGAGTGTTATTACGGCTTGAAGCAATGAGTGAAAGCCAACCGTACAATAAATCTATTGTGACACGCCTATAATATGAATGAGAAAGGCATGTTCGGCTTTGCGCTATACACGTTTATAGCTATCATACATAGATGGTGAAATTACACGCTTTGTTCAAATATTGTGGTCTATGAAAAGACGTACAAAAAAAGTGATATTTACTTGCCTATATTTTCCCTTAAAATATATAATTTGATAAAAGATCCCTTAGTTTCTGAAGCATTTACAACCAAGAAAGCTTATCTAGATTGGGGTTTAGTTTCTTTTTTTAACGCTGATGCCAATTTAGACAATAGATGTCTGAATAAAAAAGGAAACAAACATTTTGATTCTGTCGCGTTTTAATTGGGAGTTTAATTGCACTTTTAAAGTATTTACTCACCCATAGCTTAGTCATTTCACTAATCATTAATTGAGAACTAATTTATCAAAGACAGACATATACGACAAGTTAACGCATTATCTAGTTAACCTCAAAACATGCTTTTATATTTGGGGCTGGTAAGATAAATTACTGTATAGTGGAAAACGGCAGACTTTTTTTAAAGTACTACTAGTACAGGTACTGTAAGCATAGCATAAGCGTGAATGCCTTATCTCGGTCAGCGTATCAACATAGATTACTCTTGATTTTCAACCTCAAAACACTTTCACGCCATTATGTATGGTGTGATCGTGTGCCAAATAACGTTATCAAATATACTCTACCCTAAATAGTCTTCTACCCTTTTGTTTTTATACCGATAGCATTTGAAATTCTCTTTAAGCATTCCCGGATATGAAGTCGTGATTTAAACTGTAAGAAGGCGAAACGATGACCTTTTTATTTTAACACAATTTAGGATTATAAGTCACGATGTTTGACAGCGTTTTTGCCCCCTCCTCATCCCAACCAGTGCTGAAAGAATATCGACTTTTCCCTTTTCCTCAACTAGAATCTTCTAGGTCCAAATGCGCCACATATAGTAGAACTATGCCCTATACATAACTATTGAAAAGGCGGCCATATATCATGTGACAGGTTTGGCGCTTGACTGGGTCATTAAAATGTGAAAAGGAAGGGTTGGAAAGGAAGTGAAGGGGGGGGGGCGTAGGAGACGACATTTACCTTTGGAATGACTCAAAGATATACAGGCAGTGGGATCTCTCGTATAGTGCACCTTCACCTTTTTACATCACCAGCCCCCCCCCCCCCCCCCCCCCCCCCCCCAAGC